TTTCATCCCCATCTTGCTCAGCAGTGAGGTTGTATCTTTCTGCCTGTTTGATTTGCCATATTCCCGTACCTGTACTCTATAAAAGGTCCACTCTGAGTAGCCTTTGGGGTGTCTGTTGAAGATCAGTTCTCTTACAGGTACACCTAGTAAAAAGCAGCAGAATTTAAAATCAGTGTTAGATTAAGTCCAAGTATGGATTTTTACCCTGCAGAAAATCCTATTCAGTTATGTCCCCTGGGAAGAGAAATGAAACTAACTATCACATCTGTTGCAATAGAACTGTAAAGGACTGGACAATAACTAACATGTAAAAAGAGGGTTTCTCGTGCCTGTTATTGACGGCAAAATAAAACCTTTAAAGGTATGAGTGTATTTGCTTTGAAGTTTGAAAGCAGTGGAGTTTTGTATATCCTTGTCTTGAATACTAACAGCACACCAACCAGTGTAAATTTTCTTGGTTTTGTTTTTGTGTGCTGTGTCTACCATCTCTGCTTGTCATGAAGTTCGCCTATCACAGAGGTGCCAGGGATTATTTTATGAAGCTGATTTGCACTGGGACACAAAAGCTCCATCTTTCACTGAAGGATAAACTGAAAGCATGTTTTGACAGGCATGGAATCGTTAAGTGACAAGCAGTCTACGCTCACAACATCTATATATTGAGGCTGGTTTTATCAGTTTCATGTAGGTACTTCTTTCTTTAGTTTTCAAAGTACTGTGACTTTTCAAGGAGGAGTTTGTGGACCTGAAGTTACAAATCTTGATGATACAGAATAAATCCAAGTCTGCTTGTAAATAGTTATTGGGAAATGCAGTCGTGTAACACCTATTACTTGGCCAATACCTTACAGGAGGCAACAAAAAAGAAGGAACCAGGCCCTCCTCAGAGGTGCCAAGTGAGAGGACAAGAGGCAATGGGCACAGACTGAAAACGTGAAATTCAATCTGAACATAAATAAACACTTTTTTTACTGTGAGGATGATCAAACACTGGCACAGGTTACCTGGAGAGTTTGTGTAGTCTCCATTGGTGGAGACAGATATTCAAAATCCAACTGGATATGGTCCTGTTGCAACCTGCACTAGCTTACTCTCTTTGCATAGGGGGTGGGACCAGATGATCTCAAGTGGTTACTTGTAGCCTGAACGATTCTCTGACTCTGTAGGGGTTAGCCTGACTTGAGAGCCAGGTGCTGGTTATCATGAAAATAGTGCAGGGAGGCACAAACAAAACAGCTCCGTGTGTTGCTTTCAGTAGATGAGCTCTGAAGAATGTTACACCCCTGAAAGGGTTTCTTTCCTTCTCTTTTACATTTTTCATCTGTATTCCAAGTCTTATACTGGAAGGTATACTCTTTAAGAAAAGCTGAGACTGGGAGTAGTTTGATACCAAAAGCAGTCTGTTTGACCCTTTGTACCTCTCATCAAATGGCAGTCACTGTGCTGTAGTTCCTCAGAGAGCCTTAGAGGTATTGCTTTGCAGAGCCCCGCAGCATGCTATGAATGAGGAGATGCACAAAAATTGAAGTGGGAAGACCTTTCATTGGGTTTGGTATGGAACTCTTGCTACCTTTTGGGTAAACTTCTGCTCTTACATGTAGTGACCCTTCAGACTGAGTATCTATTTAGGAATATAGTATAGTATCTATACTATACTATATCTATATAGTATCTATATAGTATCTATTTAGGAATTCCCAGTTATTACTTATTGTGGAATACACACAGCAGAGAGATAGGATTACAATGCTACAAGGCTGAGAATTAACATGCTTACCCACCCTGATGGGTCTTTGATGGCCAGGCATCACTTAAGTGGAGGAGGAGTGGTCTTTGTTACTCCTCAGAAGAGTCTCAGCCTTCATGTTGATAATGGTCACCTTCCAAATTTTCATTTTTTTAAAAAATTATATTTTAGACCTCCTCATGCAAGTGCTTCTCCTCCTGAAGCCTTGCTATGTTGACTATTCCGTCCTAACAATAACTTCTCTGTTTCGGTACAGTGAACAAGATGAAGGTATGCTTTGTTGGGTGGAGATGTAGTTCCACATAGAATACCTTTTGGTGAGGTGGAGTGAGTTGTAATTATAGGTAGAATTTTGCTGAGAGTAAATGCTTTTACAGTAGCCTGCATTCAAATGTTGTTGTCTTAGACAATGCTTTCTGACACGTAGTCAGAGTACCACAATGGCTACAAAATTTTATGCTATTCCTTTTGGCCACAGGATAGCACAACTGCTGCCCTCCCAAGCCAACAAGCATCGCTTGTTTGCTACTGTACATGGGCAAAAGGGATGTGTGGAAGATTCATTTTTTCTTGTTGCTTGTTTGCTGTTGAACGTGGGCAAATGGGCTGTTTGGAAGGTGATCTTCTAGGCCATAGCCTCTAGTCAGACTTCTTATTTCTTGTGTGTTGTGGCAGATATGTTTAGTGAATGCCTAGGACAACATGTGGAGTATTTTGGGGCCTATTTGAAGCCCACTGGCATATTGGGATGGTGTGTGGTTGATTTGGAATGGCAAGAATGGAAACATACTCCAGCCATGCACATTACAGGATATTCTAAGAGAACCAAGTAGTTAATTGCCTTGAATAACAACACAACTTCTAGTTAATTTACTTTATTAAATGCAGGTCATGGTAAAATTATCAAGCAAAGCATCAATCAAAATTTCACTGGTGTTTCTGTCAATACCACGAATATCTATGCTAAGATGCACTCATAAGGTACAAATCAAACGTTGGTCAATAACACAGGAAGCAAGGAAGCTGTGCAGATATTAGACAGGAAACAGGTATAATTAAGTAAAATTAAAAAGACGAAGCAGATTTAAATTCTAAAGGATTTAGATTACTTATCAGTAAAAGGTAGCAAGAAGGCATGTTGCTCATAGTTTTCTTAGCATTTTTGATGGTTGGAAGTCTCAGCAACTTTAAACTACAAAGTTTAGAAAAATGAGGAAAAAATGTAAGGTGATTAGAAGTCAGCAATTAAATGTTAAGGGCTGGACAATTTTTCCTCAAAGCCTAATTTTTTCAAGTAGCTGAAGGAGCAGGAGAGAAGAAGTGTGATGTGTCTATATACGTGTGGTGAGACAGGAGAAGGTAAAGAGCATTTTAAGATTATTCTGGATTTGTATTAAATTTTGTTAATCCCCAACAGTCCTAAATTGGAAATTAACATAAGGAAATGCAAATTCCTCACTTCTCAGTGAGGAAAAGAGGTCAAACAGATTTCTACAAGTTCTTTTTTTTTTAATTTTTAGGGATTTTTTTTCTCTCTGGGAGAGCCAAGAGAATGAGCTGCACTTCCCTTGAAGTCAGCATTTGACATAGGCTAGATGATGCCATCTAGCTAGGTACAGAGGGCTTTTATGACTCCTTACTCCTTACTCTCAAACAACAAAGCCAGAAGAGCAGGTTTGATACAAGAGAGCACTCTGTATCAAACACTCTGTTCCACACTCTGTTTTCTGTGGAGGGCTGTCTCATTAGGACAATGGAAAGGAGCAGTAGAAGGGCGTTCTTTGATGGCACAGAATGGTTTCTGGGTGCTGCCTTCTTTGAGGGGGATTGGGGTGGGAGGAAAAGAACATACATTTTCAGTACCGGTGGCTATATGGCTTAAGGTTGAGATTTTAGCACTGCAGTTCACATTTTTTCCATTGAACAGTGAACCTTGGTTGCTGTCTGAGAGCAAGTAATAATTCATTCTAGGGGAGAGCAGAATCTACCAAAAAAGAGGATGCTCTTGGATTTGTTGTGTCTGATGAAGAAGAAGAAAGGGTGATCAACCTTAAATTTCAGAACATGGCCAACAGGTGCACTTTTTAGGTTTATAATGACAGCAGTAGCAGCAGCTGCCTCAGTGCCCTTTTCATCAACTGTGACAAAAGACTTGTGAAAAACTTTGGAGATCTGCAGAACACCCTTCTCAGTCATTCCACTGAAATCAGCATTGCGGCTGAAGGCAGTGTGCATTCCCATCCTGACCAAATTACCACTGAGGTCATATCTCTCTTCCATTTTGAACTTAGGTAGGTACAGATCCACAAGAGTTTCAGTCATCTTCTTGGAATCAGTCCATTCAGACAGCTTCTCATAGGTCAGTTCTCTTTCCAGCTATCATTTAAAAGAAAGAGAAGGAATTTGATGTTTGCAAGGGAAAAACAATTAATTAACTATGAATTAATCAACTTTATGGCAACATAATGAATTAAACATTTTTTTAAATAGCGAATTTAACATTTATCTGAAAGCATGAAATAGAAACTGATTTTACTGATTATCAGAGACAGCGCATGCAACAAATATTTGAGTCTAAATACTGCAAAGTTTTGAGCACCAACCCTACCAAATTCATTGCAAAAGGAAGACAGAGGGGGCACTGAACAGCTACCATTCCCTGAGGTAGTTCTTTCCTCTCTTTTAATTCAGTCTTGATGTGAAAAAAATTGCTGTGAGATTGACAGCTGCATGGCATGTAGTTTGGTCCAGTTCTATAAAAACAGGTGTTAACATTATTGCACGTATTACCATGACAGCTTTGAAACAAATGTCTTCCAGCAAGGTCTTTCACTGCCACTCTGTGTCCTGGGCACTACACCATGACAGTTCAGCTCAGATCAAATGGAGAAAAGCAATGAATGGTATAGACTCCAAGAATTTAACAACCTTGGAATTGTAGTAACTACAGTGGTAGATCTCATTATTATAGCAAATGCAGTCTCACCAAAATCTTGGTTTTTTAGACAGCAAACAAGTGGTGGGGGGAAGGGGGGAAAACAGAATGAGAAGAAGATGGTAAACAAACTTCCAGGCCATGGGGAAGAGGGGTCTGTTATTTTAGGAAGAGGCTATTACTACTGGTGCAGTACTGTCCCTCCTGAATGTGCAGTGAGATTTAACCCTGAGAGAACGTGTAAGAACGTGGTGTCAGTCATGGGGCTGTTGAAGAGCTAAGCATCTGATTATGCACAGTGTTTACTCTCTTCAGTTCTTACCATATTAAGGGTGCTCAACGTGGAGGAACTTTCTTGGAATTAGATAAGTATCAAAGGAAATTAACTCAGCTAGTGGAGGGGTCAAACAGTATGACAGCATGTCCTCAGAAAGGGAGATATGGTTGCCAGCCTGCTTTTTTTTTTTTTAAATGACTGTGTGCTAATACAAAATGGATGTATCAGGTTTTTTTACCTGTTCAAGACCCGTAGTGTTGTCTTTGATGTCATCAGGAAGGAGGATGAACATACTGAGTTCATGTTTCACATATGGCAACTCAATCATTTTGAAGTTCATTCTTTCCATGATGAGAACTGGAAATGTATTTCTCATGTACATCATCTTTACTGGCTTGGTCTTGTTCTGTAAAGTGTTTATTTAAAAGTAAGAAATCATTCCTTGAATGGAAGGATGATGATGTCTCAGTACAGCGCAGGGAGAAGAAACTTTTATAAACAGCTTTTAAAATAGCAATTTATCATTC